AATCACATTGTTAAACCAAACAACTCACATATTCTTTACTTATTGATAGTTATAGATGATATTATATTTGAAATTCTGGAGAAAGGGAATCGAGTGCGTCTAGATTCTCATATAGGCTTCGGGACAGGTCTGGTGTTGTCGCAGCATAACATTTCAGTATATAAATAGGCCACATTTGCTGTTATGGACATTTCAAGCTAAGAGATCGCCGTAAGCAAATCAATATAAATAATATAAACTAGTATAAAAGTAAATGCTTATATAAATTAGTATAGTATTTAAGTAAAAATAAATAAATTAGTGTATTTAGTGCACAGCACAGCACTACACTTTCGGAAAATTATTTTTTTATCTTCGGGTGCAGTCAAAATTTAAAAAATTTTAAAATAACAGAACCCCATCTTTCTGTTTCTGTGCCACCTTTGTCCTAGAGTCTTTCTTGACGACGAGATTTTAACGAAATGGGAAGTTTTTTGTCCAGTACTATATCTGAGATCAATATCGTATAGTACTTTATTTCTATTTTTAAATGCTGAAATTAAGATTGAATGGGGGAATAGTTGGCGAATAGTTGGCGAATATCAAGCACTTGAGATTCTTGAAAAAGTAAATCTGTTTTTTTTTAGTATAATTTTCAGTATACGTTTCTTAATTATCTCTAATGCCCTTAGATGAACTTGATAAATTCCACCCCATGTTAGTATTCCATACTGTAGCCTAGACTGAACAAGTGAGTAGTAAATTATTTTTAGGTGATTTATACTCAAGATTGTACTAAAATATTTAAATTTAAAAAGTAGATATCTTAATATTTTTGTAATATTTTGAATATGCTTTTCCCACCTTAAATTACAATCAATAATAACCCCCAAATATTTGATATGATCCTTTTTGTTTATATTAATCAGCAATATTGATTTTAATCGTTAGCGTTTGATTTAACAACTTATTATTAAACCATACAATTATTTTTATCATATCCGCTTCAACATTCTGTTTCAGTTCTTGCCACGTGTGAAAACTGTACAGAATAAATGTGTCGTCAGCAAAACAAGTAATTTCTCCAGATATTTCTAGATTTGGCAAACTATTTACATACATTTAAAATAAAAATGGGCCCAAAATAGTTTCTTGATGCACACTATACGATACATAAGTTAGATCACTAAATTGATTGCTGATTTTTACTGTTTGAGTTCGATGTTCAAGATAACTTGTCATTAGTTGGTGTGGTATGCCTCTAATTCCTATATTTTCCAAGGTGTCCAACAACTGAGTGTGTGACAGTGTCAAACGCCTTGGCCAAATCTAGGAATATACCTATTGTAGGGGTACCTGTATCTATTAATTTGTAAATTTTTGAAGTCAAATTAGTTATGGCGTCTGTTGTTGATACACCTTTTCTAAAGCCATATTGTTTATTAGAAATTAAATTTAGTTTGGTACAAAATCCATTTAGCCTATTGTTTAAAAATGGGAAACTGTAATTCCCCGTTTGGGACCGGGAAAACGACCCCTTAAGGGCCGGAAAGTCGTGTTTAGGATGTAGTAATCGAGTGGTATTCTCATGGAAATTTAGGGAAGCCAATGTTCTTCTATTCAGCGAATAGATTTGACGTCGAGAAGGTCTCATCACGCTCGATTACTGCCTTAATTCAAGAATTACTCCTATGTGATAGTTTTCCCCGGTATCTAAAAGATCCCGAATGCCCCATCCACCGATTCTAATGCGTTTATCCTTTACCCATGTATTACTCTACACTCGATTGTCAAGTATAAAGAGGAGGTGAAAAATTCCACTTTCCACCTTCGTAATGTAATATACTACGAGCCCCTTCCCATTTCATTTGGCCCACTTTAAAATTTTTTAAAAATTTGTCCCTTTGTGACAAAATAAAAGTACAACCTGAACTTTTTTTAAAAAAATTTATTTACCTACATAATTAAGGAGGTCCTTTCGCCACCAATGTTAAATAAAAAATAATAGATTATGACTAAAATTAATTTTTTTCTAATAGTAGATGTCCTATTTATCTAACTTTTAACTATACCTTACCGTGCAAATTTTTTGAGAAAAATTTTTTTAATGTGTATGTTTGTACAGTGTCTTATGAGAAAGTAAGACTTCAACAACAATTTTCGAATTATAATTAATTTTACTATTATTTATTGATTAGATGGAGTAGAAAAAAACTAAAAATAAGGTTTTTGAAATATTTAGGTCTTGTTTTTACAATAAAATATATAGGTTATCGTGGAATTTATTGAGAAATTATTATTAAAAAATCACAAAAAATTTTCAACTAGGTTACTTGAAAATTTTTTGTGATTTTTTAATATTAATTTCTCAATAAGTTCCACGGTTTACTATATATATTTTATTGTATAAAACAAAATCTAAATATTTCAAAAACCTTATTTTTAGTTTTTTCTACTCCATCTAATCAATAAATAATAGTATAATTCGAGAATTGTTGTTGAGGACTTACTTTCTCGTGAGGCACTGTACAAATACTCACATTTTAAAAAAAAATTCTCAAAAATTTGCAAGGTAAGGTATAGTTAAAAGTTCAGTATTAGATAAATAAAGACTTCAACTATTAGAAAAAAATTAATTTTAGTCATAATCTAATAACTTTTTTTTTAATATTTGAGGCGAGAGGTGTGGCGAAAGGACCTCCTTAAACTCTATTTACCAAAATATATACGTAAAAACCGATAAATTTATACAAAATGAGAACAAACAGAAAAATATTAACAAGAACAGAACATTCAAGAAAAAACAGTTTTAATGTTTACCACTGGGTAACATCGCCTTTATTTTTTATGACTGCCGAAATTCTTTGTGGCATAGTATTAACCAAGTCTTCACAAAATTGTGGTGTAAACGAATTCCATATCTCCTGAAGCCTTTCCTTTAATTCAGGGATTGTTCTGGAAGGATGTGTCCGCAACACTTTTTTCATCGCATGCCACAATGTTTCGATCGGAGACAAATCGGGGCTACTGGAAACCCATTCCAAAAGTGGTACGTTGTAATCTTCTATCCATTTTAGTGCTTTTTTTGAAGTGTGGCATGCTGCGCCATCCTGTTGGAATACAAAATCTTTCCCTGATGTCAAATATTTCTCCATGACCGGCAACAGCGATTCTTCTAAAATGTCTAGATACTTTTCCGTATTTACAATTCCTTGGATAAAATGGAGTTTTCCTACCCCTTTGGATGACATGCTGCCCCACACCATGACTGACGCAGGAAATTTGACTTTTTTCTTTAAACAGTCCGGATGGAAGGCTTCATGTTTTTTGCGAATTACTCTACTTCTACTGTCCCCAACACACACTTCAAATCGGGACTCATCGCTCCACTCTACTGCACGCCATTGTTGAGATGTCCAAGATCTATGTTCTTAATCCATCTTAATCTATTTTTCTTTTGCCGTGGAGTTAAAAGTGGCTTTTCTTTGGCCTAAAACAAAATTGTCAGTTGTAAACAATTTTACAAAAAAAAAAATATTTATCCAGTATGAACTTTATTATTTTTATCGTCAAAAATGTTACCTTATAAGTACCAAATCTCAGTTTGTGGGCCTCCCGATGACATGTGGATCTCGAAATGCGCCTTCCAATAGCATCACTCCATAGAGCACTTAGGTCTAAATAATTGGAACGTCGATTCTTTACAATAATTTTTCGTAGCGCTCTTCTATCTGCATCTGTAACGTTGCTTTTTCTCACATATCTAGGCTTTGTAGTGACTGAACCGGTAGTTTTGTATCTTTTAACTATGTTTCTTACACTATATCTCGACAAATCTAACAAATTTGCAATTTCCGAATTTGATTTTCCAGAATTGGCAAATTTAATAATAATTGAACAAATTTTCTCATCGATAATCTTTCCTCTACCCATTTTCACGATAACAACTAACCATAAAATGTAAAAAATACATTCTGACAGTTCCATAGTAGTTTGTCTTGGCTTAAAATTTCCAAAGCCACCGTCGATATAATATGTTTATTTTGTAATACAAGTCAAATGGGTTTTATTAAAAACTAATAAAAACTTCGTTTCGAAATATTTTTGATTTTTCGTTAAAAATTCTAAAAGGAAATAATAAAGCGGGAGTTTTTCTATTTGATATTATTAAAAATATACCCTTTTATGACATTATGACCTAAAATATCATGTATTATTTATTATTATATCATGGTGCTTAAAAAATTAAGATTTTAATAGTTGGGCCAACTGAAATGAGAAGGGGCTCGTATATTGTGTAACAAAATAGATATGGTTTTATGCAGCTTTAAGGCAGGTGCAATTTTGTGAACAAATGGTTCGTCAGAAGGTTGACAATTATTTAAAAATTCATGACAAAGAAATATTAACTGTCTGTTGTTTAATTAATTGATAATAATAATAATAATAATAATAATAATACATCCTTATTCACCTCCTTACAAGTGAATTTTAACCCCAAACGCTGAGCTTGTCCCGGGAAGTAGGGCTATTAATATTATTTGCCGTGGTGCTCCGGGGTAAAACCATAAAGCAATAAATTATGCTACCCAATCATTAACAAACTTTCGCACCAACCTAAAAATAGCGAAGTAATGATAACAGAATTTTTATTATATTCGTCAAATATAGTAGACTAATGAATACATTATGAACATTAAAATATTCTTTTAAAATTAAATTTTATGATTTTTTTTTTGGTTTTGTATTATTTAACCTATTTACCACTTAGTAACTAGGAATTTTTAACAAATTAATTTTTCATGCTACAGTGCAATTATTAAATTGAAATTTGCCACTGCAATTTTATATTTGATTTGATAATCTTGATATAAAAACAAGAGCACTTGTGGTGCAGTTGGCACCATCTATGTACAATGTGTTGAATATTTTTTGCTTTGTTACAAAACCGTTGGCGCAATTATTATCGCACCCTTAATCAGAATATTATTTTATTTTGAATTGTTTTTACGTTGTTTCAGTGCCGACGATACCGAAGGTCGAATTAAGAGAAGTTACGCCGAAATCGCGAAAAAAGGTTGAAAGAAGAAATCGAATGCTGATCTGTAAAGCGAAAGGTTTCCCACCACCAAAGATAACGTGGAGGCGGCGAAACGAGGTCCTGCATCACAGCCGCTCCTCTTACAATATACTGTACAAAAGGTGAGTTAATCAAAAATCTTCAGTCTGCTTATTTTACAACATCAACAGGTCTGATTGTACAATATCTCAACAATATTTCTTGAATAAAAATTGCATCTGTGATTGCTACTAGTGACTATAGCTTGACGTATCTAACTCTAGGTAAGGAACAACTAAAAATTTGCGAAAACCATTGTCTACTAAATCTAGTAAAACAGCAAAACTAGTCAAAGTACTGAAAAGGCCACTGTATACGAAGACAAGGGCCAAGCTTCTACTAAAATCTAATCTTCTGTATGTGAGCCAGGCTTCTGATAGAATATGGTTCGTAGGTTTACTTAATAAACTAAAAAAAAGCCTTCCATAAACATCATAGACAATAACTTGTAATGTTTGTAAAGTTTAAGGTGTTTCAGCAGGCAGTGTCCCGTTAGTAATTCCGCAATTGTGAATATTTGAGGCCTTGCAAGCTGTAGTACCCTAGCAGCCATACGTGGTTTTGGTTTACTGGGCATACTGATGCTATGCCCTCTTATATGGTGCCAGTAAGTTTGGTGTTTACGGGTTATCGACTCGTTCACTATTTATCGAGCAGAGGTTTTGCTTATCCTAAACTCAGATTTGGGTCCTTTAGCGAACTCATTAGCATTGGATCCTTTATGTCCTAGTACCCATACTCTAGTTTTACATTGAGAAGGCAGTTCCGGGCCAGATTTGACTTGATTCTGTTTGAATCGAGGGCTTTATCTTTATCAATACATTTACAGATAGATTCTACGACAAATCAGAAATCACAAACTTATATACATTAGAATCTGAATTACTACAAGGTAAGGTATTGGGACTAGTGCTTTATCTTGTTCACTGCAGACGTACCAACACCAACCACAAGACGATCAGCTGCGGCAAATTTTGCTGACGATACTTACAGACATAAAAAATTATAAATTTTTTCTTGTATGTGAAATTGTTACTAACAAATTTCTTTTCTTAAACATTTTCTTTCAATTTTTTTATAAAAAAAATCTAGAAGAGAAGCCCACATTCGTAATTATAGCTATGAATAGTGGACGATTTAAAGATATATCCCCTAATTTTCGTTTGTAATTCAGATATTGAAATGAATTTATTTTTGTTTAAAAGCTTGGAACAAGTACTATCTTATAATTCAATTATTCTATGACGTCACTGCTTACTTCCGTTTTTAACAGAAATAATGGAAAATCACTTTTTTAAATGAAAATTTAAATGTATCTGACATTTTTGAATAATAATTCGTTATGTGCAAAGAGACATCTTTTTCACCTTCTAATAAGTAACTAACTTTCCAAATATTGAAGTTTTAATACATTTAACTATTTTTTTCTATTTTTTTTTGCAAACCAGTGAAGAAGACTGGTAAGTTTTTGATTTTTTTTTTCTAAAATGCAAAAAGCTAACAAGGCTAATTGGCAAAGCGATTGGATATTTGAAAGTAAAAGTAGAAGCTATATAAAGTAATTAAAATTTTATAAAATTTATTAAATCAACAATAGCTCGTTGCTTCTTTTTTTTTTTTTCGTCATGTGCTCACTTCCACAAAAACAATCTTTTAAATTTTATAGTAAGGCAAGTAAATACAATATCGCTTATAATGTTTTTATATAAAAGTATTGTATATTAAAAAAAAATTTTTCGGGGTAGGAATGTTACTGATACATCGTACTTAAAACAGTAAAAAATGTTACGGGCAAGTTTGTGCATTTTGCGAACATTTTTTTAAAACATTGCACTTTGACGATATTGTCTCAGGGGGGGTTGTCAATAACGCCACATATTATTCGTACAAAATGTTGTTTTGTTATAGCACGATCCCTGTGTGTTGACCAGTATTTAAGAACTTCGTCATACCAATAGTGTTCAAATGAGCGAAACACAGACCTATCTATAGGCTGTAGTTCGTGCGTTGTATTGCTTGGCAAGCAGTATAACGTTATACTCTTCTGCGACCGTGACAATAGAATAATCCAGAAGACACTTAGCACCATCGAAAATTAAAAGAGATACTATCTTTCGGAGTCATAAACACCATACTAGACGCCGGAAGTGTTCTGCCCATTCAGGCTTCATCCTTTTTCCTTTAAATAAAATTAAGGGAGGAATCGCAGAACCCAGGGCGTTGCCACAAGTTACTATTGTGACGTTTTGTCCATGCTCATTTGCCACAAGGTGCACACGCTTTGCTCCTTTTTTTTGCAAGGACTGTTTGTTGGTGGTGTAATGCTAACCGACAGCCTTTCTCATTCATGTTGTAGATATGCTCAGGCTTGTCCATGATGTCCATGTTAGCAAGAATTTTGCCCAATTTTTCAAAATGGTTACTTACAATAAACCTATTTAGTTTCTGAGCTCTCGCGGGGTTCATGCTTTTAGCTTTCCGATTTCTAATATTCGGATGACTGTCGAGAAAACCTTTTAGCCAGTATCGGCCTGCCAATTTTGTAACTTTATTAAACGGATTTTAAATTTGGTTGGTCTTACAAAAATTGAACACGCATCACTGTAAAACTTTCGAAGTTATGGGATAGCCTACTTCCGCCAAACGAATTATTCTTCCACACAAATCTTCCTCTTGTTCTAAATTAATAACTGATTTGCGACCCATGGCAGATTTTGTTGTTTGATGGTTACGTAAGTAGTCTCTCAGGGTCCTACGAGGAACCAAAAATGCTTTTCTTGCTGAATTCACAGACACGTCATATCCAACAGCTGCTAGGGCACGCTGCATATTTTCTTCCGACCATTTCCCTCTGATACCTCGGTTTCTTGCTTTATTCATGACGATTCTGTAAAATAATGAACGATTCTTTAGTATAAATTCAAGAAAACATGAAAAATATTCATGTCTGGCAATATCGTCATTGGCGATATTGCTACTCGGTTATTTTGGCGATATTACAAACACGCGCACATTTCTACTGTTTCTTGCTTACTTCGGTAAAAAAACATACGATTTTTAAATATCTACCATTAGTTGATAGCTCATTCTTTTCTAAAAACTACTGCTGACAAAAAAAAAGCACTTACCTGCACAATCTTTGAAATATCCAATTAATATCACGAGTAATCGCTTACATCGGTGGTGGTGGCAAAGCAGTTTAGGTGGGAAACCAACTGCTAAACGAAAATGTGAGGTTAGAATTCCCCACAAATTGAAATGTAGATTGCTTTTACTATTGGGAAAGTACCCCAAGCGACATTTGTCTTTCAGAAACCAAACCTTCCAAGATATTAACCCTTGGCGTTATTGCCAGCTTGGCGATATTGTATTCACCTACCTTATTCATAAAGGACTCCTCACTTTCCTTATTTAAAGCAGCGACCGGTCAAATTTTCTGCAACTTTGGTATATTGTTGTACTCAACCTAGTAACCAAAAGTGGCAATAGACCCAAATCAATACTATGAGTAGTTTTCGAGTTAAAGTTGAAAACTGCCGTTTTTGGAATTATTATTTGCAAACTTACGAGCTCGATTGATTTTATGTTGCATACACACGTTTGCTACATATTTTAGTAATATATTATTACATACGTACAATTAAAATATTTATAATTACGGTAGTTTTTTCCAAATTCTCACTAATTCTATTTTCAAAAAGTACTATTCAGTATAGCATATTGGCGACAAAATATAGCACAGTGCACTTTTCATATTCAGGGTGTTTTGTAAATAGAACCACAACATACATTAATTTTTTCAAGGATTAATTCAAAACCCTGTACTTACGAATTGATTTTTTAGGAAATTAATACCACTAAAATATGTGTACCTTTAAGATTGAAAATAATCATAGTGATTTATTTGTTGGAAGGTGTTTTATTTTAAGAAACGTACAAAAACCACATATACTCTGTAATCTAAAATTTTCCTAGTTAAATATAACCATTTTCTTAGTAGTGTATAATAATTTTAAAACTGTTTTAAGATGTACGAATTTTAAATCTGATACTATCACCAGTTTTCGAGATGCAGGGCGTTAAAGTGGAGTTAAACTTTCTTCAAACTGAAAAGCTCTAGATTGGCTTTATGTTGCATAAAGTGTAATATAAGTTTTGGTTAGATGTATCTTGAAAAGTACTTTACAACATACCAAAGTTTCAGAAAATTTGACCGGTCACCACTTTATATTGGGAAAGTACGAGATTCTTTAATAATTTACGAAATATTAAAAATCTGTCCTATTTTGAGTGTAATTTTGCTTTTTTTACTAATGACAAAACAGCCGGAACATTGATTTTCTTCCATCATTAATTCCTGTTTTTTCTTCTGTTTGTAGGAGGCAGAGTAAGCTGATTATCAAAAAACAGGATGCAGGATACCTGGGCCAATACGAGTGCATAGCTGAAAATGCGAATGGATACACAGCATCACAAAATATCACTCTGTTGCCGCTTCAAACTAGTGAGAGCCTTAATTCTGGTATATCTATGCATCTACATTCTATATCGTCTTTTCGACCAAAGTTAACTGTTGATTCACTAAAAAACGTTCATTATTTTTATATACATTAGGTTGCAAAAATGCAGTTTTCTCAGTGTAAATTTTAACGATACCTGTATAGACTTCGTTCGCTACTTGAAAGATACAGGTACAATATAGGTTTGTTTTGGTTCTAATTTAAGAACCTTTCCGACATGCGCAGTGATTCAAAAGTGTTTTGGTTAATTTCGAATCAGTTCAGAACCGAAGGTGACGTTGGTTCACTCATTGGAATTATTTTAGAACTATTCTAGAACCCGATCAAACAGTTCTTACTTGTGAGCAGGAATTATTTTATAATTTTTAGTTCGAGCATGCGTATAGTAAAGAAAGCTATGAAACAACAACTGACAACCAATTATTGATTTATTTCATTTCGTTTATTAGGTGTTTAGCTGTTGATGTCGAGATTTGACATTTTGTTTTGTTGGTATTCATTATCCATTATGGGATGACTAATTTGAAATTAAATAATTTTTAAATTATTTACATATACTATTTTAAAAAATATGGAAAACAAACAAAAGATATAAATAAAAGTAACTAGAATCGATCAAAAGATATAAGTAAAAACGTTGTACAGGAATTGACAAGAATGAATATGAAATGAGAAAAAACAATGGCAAATTACAGTTTTGCAAACAATATTTTTATGTAGTTCACAGAATTGACAATAATTGTTGGCTTCTTGTCCTCAACAATAAAAGGATATAGTAAGGTAAAAAAAAATGCAAAAGATAAGAAGAAGAAAATGAAAAAAGAAAAAGAAGAAGAGGAATAACAAAAGTGTTTTGGTCCACATACTTTGATTACTATACGAGGCAAGAGAGAGGTCCGACACGCCCAACATAGGGCGCGACCATTTTGAACCCTATGACACAGTTTATAGCTAAAGAATCAGATCGCTCACTCTGCGTCGGCACTTTTTATCTCAATGTTCCAGTTTATACACTGCACAACTCAGATAATAAATAAATATGACAACCGCCTATAATAAAACAGCAGTCTTCTGCGTATCCTGAATTTGTATCCCTGGAGTGGATGTTATTTTGGAACTTTCAACTGGTCCGAGTGAGCTAACTGATTCTTTAGCAATAAACTGTGACTCCAAAAATAACAGGTCTTTTCCTTTGCATCGAAAGTGTAGCACTGAGCTACACCACTTCTGAAAATATCGTTTCATTTATACAAATTGTATGGATGGAACGGTATTTTCAGAAGTGGCGTAGCTCAGTGCTACACTGTCGATGCAAAGGAAAAGAGCTAATATTCACTGACACTGACAGCAGCAAGCAAAATATCAGGTGCGTTTTAATCATCCGCTTCTGCTTCCGGAGTTGTCGGTTCAGTCGTTCTAACCTGTCAGATTAAAACAAGAAAACCGACAATACCGAAGCAGAAGCGGATGATTAAAACGCACCTATTAAAAATATTGTGCCAAGATGTAGGCAACACGTAATAAGGGTTCAAAATGGCGAAGTTTTCTATCTTCTTTTAAAAAGCACGCAGAAAGCTGCGCAGTGCGACCATTCTCCGTATAGTAAAAGAAAATCAAAGTATGTGGTTTTGGTTCATACTTTCTTGAATCGATTCTGAATCAGTTTTATTATTTTTGTCACTGCGCAACTTGTTCTGCGTCGTTCTAATAAAATTCTTAAACCATTCTAATTTCGGAACCAAAACAAACCTTATACCTTTGCAGTTCTGGTCTTCCACTTAAAGGTGATATAATGAGACACGTATAAAACGTGTGAGGTGACGTAACACAGCGTGTTCTTTTGTAAACTACAGTATTAAAAGATCGGCGCTGTTTTTCCAATTTGTACCGATCTATTAAATCCTGTAGTTTACAAGAAAACGCGCTCCCTCTCTACTTACAGGTGTCCCTTTCAAGTAGCGAATGAAGTCTAACAGCAAATTCGAATACGCTTATTTGTACACATTATGTTTCGACTAAGCAAAAGTTAATTTTGGTCTAAGCATGTTCATTTTTCAATGGGGGAAAATCATTTTTAAAATAATATCAAATGGCTATAAAATTTTATTCAAATATCATACGATATGTAAATAGAATTAAAGTCAGAGATAGTAAAGAGGAGGGGTTGCGACATGGCTACCATTAATGGCGTAGGGAGTCCAAAAAAATTTAAATTTGTTTCTGTATTTTCACGTAAAACATAAAACAACGTACAATAAACAAACTGTACTTTAGAACTAATAATTAGAATGGTGTACGCATCCGTATTATTAGATTCGTGCAGAAATAAATTACAAATGAATTGATCGTATGAACAAATAATACGATATTAGATCGAATTTAGAGGAATTTTAACAGAAGTATCAGGATTTTTATTAAATATTTCGTCAACCGTTTGAGAAAATGGATAAACAAATTACTAGGTTATAATGTAGTAGCAAAGGAGCTACAGCTAAAAGACAATATAATAGGTAATAGCCTAATAATAATGGAATAGAATGCTAATGGACTGCTGCAGCATCAACAAGAATTACAAGCAATCCTAGATATAGAAAGCATAGACATATGCTTAATTTCAGAGACTCACTTTACCAATGAGTCCTTTATTAAATTTAAGGGATATAAGGTTTATCATACCATTCATCCCTGAAATGCAGCAAGAGGGGGTAGCGCAGTAATAATTAGAAGCAATTAAGCATCATCAAAAATCGGGATACAGGACTAAAGAATTTCAGGATACTTCAGTAATGGTAAAATCTAAAACTTCTGATGTTATGGTCACTTCTGTATATTGTCCTCAAAGATATACCGTTAAAAAAGAACAATACCTAAATTTCCTTAATAGTCAAGAACCTAAATTTATTATTGGAGGCGACTTTAATCCAAAACACACCCATCCAGTTCCATTAAGAACAAAAGCACAGCTAGATGAAGAAGTAGAACTACTTGTGTCCAACATACAACAAGCAGCATGGGGTAATAAGCCACCTATTGTGCAGCGAATAACAGGAAATAATTATCCTAAAGAAATAAGGGACCTAATCTCTGCAAAAAGAAAACTAAGGAGGAAATGGCATCAGACCAGAGCTCCATCAGATAAAACCAAACTTAACAACGCCACCCAGCAGTTAAAAAGAGCGATAAAAGGAATCAAAAATGAATCTATTTGTGAGTACCTTAGTGAGTTGGCAAACGATAAATCCACTGATTCTATGGAAAGCCACAAAGCGATTAAAAAGACCCACTGTGCAAAATGCTCCAATCAGGAATACAGATGGTAGCTGGGATAGAAATAATATACAAAAAGTTAATAGATTCGCAGAGCACTTACAAAATACCTTCCAACTAAATGAAGGAGAAGAATTACCGAACTGGGTTCCTCTAGAGAGAGATGACTCAATTATCCAAAGGAAATTGCAGAAGATATAAAAACAAATATTAATCCTAAGAAAGCTCCTGGCTTCCTAGATTGTGGAAAATAGCTGAAGTCATTATGATCTCCAAACCAGGAAAACCTCCGAACGAAGTTTCGTCATATAGGCCAATATCTCTTTGCCTATAATATCGAAACTAATTTCAGATAGATTATTTAGAGTAAATCAAGATGAAGCATACTCTGAATTAAAAGAAATAAAAGCAGGAGTACAACAGGGAAGCGTCTTGGAACCCACTTTGTATCTGTTATACACTTGTGACATACCCCAACTAGAACAAGACACAATAGCTAGCGATAGGCAAAAATTATGAAGAGGCTGCAAATAAACTACAAACATCAGTTAATCAAATAAATAATTGAACCAAAAGATGGCGTACTAAACTAAGCGAAACCAAATCTGTTAATATTAATTTTACTAACAAAAATGGTCAAAGAATACCAATTAACATAAATAATGCTCAGGTCCCTTATGCTAACTCGGCAAAATATCTAGGTATTACATTAGATGCAAGACTTCGCTGGAATGTCCATGTTAAAAAGAAAAGCCAAGAGTTAGATATAAAATTCAAGAAAATGTACTGGTTACTTGGTAGGCATTCCAGCCTATCTACATATAACAAAAGCCTAATATATAAACAAGTTCTCAAACCAATTTGGATCTATGGCAGGCATTCAGCTCTGGGGTTGTGTCAACTACAGTAATATTCTAATAATCCAGAGATTCCAGAACAAAGTATTGAGAAAGATTGTCGATGCTCCTTGGTACATTAGAAACAGCGACCTTTATCGAGACCTTCAGATGGACACTGTTGACCAGACTATCACCAGATTCGCTAGGAGTCACGAACAACCGCTCCACCAACATGTGAACGTTGAGACGATCCAGCTTTTTGACAACACGAACCTGACAAGAAGACTCAAGAGAGAGAAACCTTTTGAGTTAGCCATGTGATTATATTAATAACAAAGCAAAGCAATGTGCGGTTTAGTGTTACACGTTAGTTTAGTGTAATTAAGTTATCGGACCCTAGTGTACTAGCGAGTAAAACTTTAATTTTTAAGATTGCAACCCTAGTTAAGTTAGGTTATAACAAAATTACTCATTGATCAACTCTTGATCAGATTGTAATATTAAAAACGCCCCTTTTAGAGTTTTTTTTTCACAAAAAAAACGTTTGAGCTAGGAAGATGCAGTTTGCGGCACTATAACATGGTGAGATATAAATATTGCGATATCTCAAAATTTGAAAAATATAAAAGGTATATTCAACAGTTTTTAAGTTATGATGCGATAGCGTTGCCACCAGCAACGCGTCGTCGGTCAAACAACCTAGTGTTACCAAGCGAAAACGTTTAGAGTGAGAGCGACCAGCGATGCGATGCTCTGAAATATCAATCGCGCCACGCGTCACTCTTTAAACAAAGCTTTAGACATAGATACATTTTCGGAATCTACGCAACGAGTTTTATTTGATAAAAAATCAAAATAAAATTATAATAAACAATGTGCTCAATGAAAACAAACCGAATCAAAAAAAAAAACAAATCAAGAAAATCCAAATAAGTAGAACTTTGATTAAGTTGAAACATTTATTGTCACTTATCTTAAGATAACCAAAACCGTTCAAAGTGATCAACCGCTAATTTGCGGTATTTACCGTTTTAAATAAAGCGACGTTTGTTATCCTTGGTTACTTGCTATAACGTCATATTTAGGCCCCTTAAAACGTAAATTATAACCGGTACATACGTGAGTCTAGACGTGGGTTAATAATGACAAGTTTAAGTGACATGCAGTTAGATTATAGAATTCGCTCAGTCAAAATTGAAAATGACATTAGCTGTTACACTTTTATTTAAATATATAGATATGCCTACATAAATTATCAAATGCTTCTGACACCATGTAAAAAACATGTCAAACTGTTCCTTACTGAATTCTAACATCCAGTCTACACAAATATGATTTTTTTTGGTAACATATCAACATTCCACAATTACTAACGAGGTAGCAAATTAAATTTTTTATATCACTGTACATAAGGAAAAGCAAGGTGAAAATCTCATAATAAGTGTATACGAATTTTCCTCAATTTCCACTTTAGAGTCAATAAAAATTAACCTAGAAATTAAATGTCAAAATTTCATGTCATATTCCTTAAAAAACGATTTAACATTAATGCGTTATAATAACCGGTTATGTTTTTAGGGCTTCAGTCACGTGATTTCAAGGTTAACCAAGGGTATAACCACAAAGTGATTTCTGGTTTATTCCTTTTAAACGGTTTAAGTTTTGTGATAAGCAATGATAATGGTTTTGATTTTTGATTAAATTCTTTCTCATATAGCCAACAAAATAATAAATTGTATTACCAACCTGATCTGAATGTTATAACGCTCTTTCCGCAACCCCTTTCTATTTACTACCCCTGATTAATGTTAAATATCTTAGAGTAGTTCAGTTATTTATTAAATGAAATAGAAGTTTGAGTGCACTGGTCTGGTATTTATAGAAAGCAATAGAAAAGCAAATAGTGCATTACTAAAAATAAATAGTAAATATCTTAATGCCTAATTCTATTATTCGAACAATAAGTTCGTTGATACTATTTGACATCTACCTACTGACTTGATATTCCCTCTTTTTCTTTCACAATTTCTTCGTAGTTCTTTAGTTGGTTCTATAGAAAACTATTTTTTCACGGAGGGTATTTTTAAATACTATCTCGCTTTGTAATAAACATTTTCGAAAAGTGTTTTTTTTTATTCATTTCTATTTTGTTTTTACAGGTAAGGAATGTCCGGATCAGTACAAAGATGTGTTTTGTCAAAACGGTGGGAAATGCTTCTTTGAATCATCGATGGGTATTCTTTATTGCAGGTAAGTTGTATTTAATAGTTATGTACAGAGTCTTTAACAAACGCCTGTCTCGCTGCAGGAACTCTAAACTTTGTCACTTGTTGATGTTGTTGACAGTTGACATTTATAGTTTCATTCTTTTTATTAATTTGATAATGTTTAGATTGAGACAGATCTTACATTTACATCACTATTGTATGGTAGTCACATACTTTGATTACTATACGGTGAAAGAGAGAGGTCCGACACGCCCAACATAGGGCGCGGCCATTTTGATTCCTATGCCACAGTTTATAGCTAAAGAATCAGATCGCTCACTCTGCGTTGGCACTTTTGATCTCAATGTTCCAGTTTATACATTGCGCAACTCAGATAATACAATATATGACAACAGCCTATAATAAAACAGCAGTTTTCTGCGTATCCTGAATTTGTATCCCTAGAGTGGATGTTATTTTGGAACTTTCAACTGGTCCGAGTGAGCTAAGTGATTCTTTAGCAATAAACTGTGACTCCAAAAATAATATTCACTGACACTGACAGCAGCAAGCAAAATATCAGGTGCGTTTTAATCATCCGCTTCTGCTTCCGGAATTGTCGGTTTAGTCGTTTTAACCTGTCAGATTAAAACAAGAAAACCGACAATTCCTAAGCAGAGGCGGATGATTAAAACGCACCTATTAAAAATATTGCGCCAAGATGTAGGCAGCACGTAATAAGGGATCAAAATGGCGGAGTTTTCTATCTCCTTTTAAAAGGCACTCAGAAAGCTGCGCAGTGCGACCATTCTCCGTATGGTAAAAGAAAATCAAAGTATGTGATGGTAGTTGTTTCTATAAAGTAAACGTTCGGAGTTTATGAAATTAACGCGCCAAATATGCTAAGCGTCAAAGAAAGCTGTCAATATGGAAGTAATGATGCCACATCACATACTTAAGAAAATCAAAGTATGTGTGCCACATAGATGCAACAATTTAGTTTGAGTTCCTGCGACGAGACAGACGTTTCAGCGATACCCGTATCCCACATGACTAAATTGATGTCATCAGTTGGCTAAAAGGAACATTAATAACGTTAGTAGTAACAATGATAACAATGTTACTGACCTATTTGACAAAGTTAATACTTAAGTTGCATTAAAATACACTAAGAATGGCAATTTTCACTATTTTCAGCACAATGCTTGTTTTGCCAGTACACGTGGGGTTAGAGACGAATATTGTTAAATGTTACATGCCCAAAAGATGTAGTGATACAGCAATAACACTCGCGGTAAAAACAGATTTTTTTAAAAACCAAGAAAATAAACTCGGGCATCAAATATTCGTAAACAATTTTTAGACATGTATCAGAAAAAATATCCAGAGATAAAACCCGCTTGTGACATAAACCAATAAATTAAAGTTAATCAACCGAATATTGATAAACAATATAATTAATGTTTAGCAATATTCTAGAAAAATATCGCCGGTTATAAAAAATTTCTGGCGGTAAAAAATCGCATATATCAAAAATCATGAAAATAATCTCGAATGTTGATAAACAATTAATTCTTATCAATTTTTTTGGAAAAAAAATAGCTAACACCGTTTATAGCAAAAACTACAAAAATAAACCCTGGAACATCAACTAATTGATAAACAATTCAATTTTGATGATTCATAAAAAACCGCGAGCTGTTAAGAAACCGCTTACGGCCAAAAGTAAGATTCTAGAAAAAATCATGAGCGGTAAAAAACCACATGTGACAAAAATTTTGAAAATTAACCCGGGGCATCAAATAATAATTAACAATACATTTTTGGAAATGTTTTAGAAAAAAATCTGTGTACGATAAATAATCGCTTGGGGCCAAGAGTATAAAATTAAAATCAGGATTTCGTATCTTGAAAAGCAAATATTTTAATTTTCTAGAAAAAATCGCAGACGGTAATAAAATCGCATAAGCCAAAAGCCATGAAAATAATCTCAGATGTTGATAAACAATTAAATCTTAATCATTCTTATAAAAAACCGCGAGGGTTAAAAACCCGCTTATGGCAAAAACCGTGAAAATAAACCTCGGTACATTAAATAGTAACAAACAATTAATTTTTGGCAATTTTTCAGAAAACACCCAAGAGGTAAAAAAGCGCTTATGATCAAAACCATGAAAATAAAGCCCGGAACATGATATATTATTAAACAATTAATTTTGTACAATGTCTCAAAAAACCGCGAGCGATAAAAAACCGCGAGCGATAAAAAAAACCGCGAGCGGTAAAAAACCGCGAGCGGTAAAAAACCGCGAGCGGTAAAAAAAACCGCGAGCGGTTAAAAAACCGCGAGCGGTTAAAAACAGCTAACGGCAAAATCCGTAATAATAAACCTCGGTACATCAAATAGTAACAAACAATTCATGTTTGGTAATGTTTTATACAAAACAGCGAGGGGTTGAAAACTGCTTACAACAAAAAATATAAAATTAAAGTCAGGCCATCAAATATTGAAAAGCAATTGTTTTTAACATTTTTTTAGAAAAAATAGCGAGGGTTAAGAACAAGCTTGTGACAAAAATCTTGAAAATAAACCGCGAGACATCAAATATTAAAAAACGATAAATTTTAGGCATTTTTTCGGTGAAAAACTGTGAGCGGTAAAAAACGCTTACTACAAAAAGCGTGAAATTAAAGAGAGAATATCGAATATTGAAAAGAAATTATTTTTAGCAATTTCCTAGAAAAAAAATGCGAATACTAATAAACTCGCATATGCCAAAAACTCATTTTTCATTAAAAATTTGTGAGCGATTAAAAACCGCTTATGGCAAAATCGGTGAAAATAAACCCCCGGTAAATCAAATAGTAACAAACAATTAATTGTTGGCAATGTTTCAGAAAAAACACGAGCTGTAAAAAATCGCTTATAATCAAAACCATGAAAATAAAGCCCGGAACATGATATATTGATAAACAATTAATTTTTTACAATGTCTTAAAAAACCGAGAGCGGTAAAAAAACCGCGAGCGGTAAAAAACCGTGAGCGGTAAAAAAACCGCGAGCGGTAAAAAATCCGTAGAAATAAACCCCGGTACATCAAATAGTAACAAACAATCAATGTTTGGTAATGTTCCATACAAAACAGCGAGTGGTTGAAAACCGCTTACTACAAAAAAATATAAAATTAAAGTCTGGCCATCAAATATTGAAAAGCAATTGTTTTAATAATTTTCTAGAAAAAATCGCAGGCGGCAATAAAATCGCATGTCAAAAAACGATGAACATAATCCCAAAAGAATTTCTTAGCCATTTTTCATAAAAACGTTAAAAAACCGCTTATGACAAAAACTACTAAAATAAACCTTGGGACATCAACTATTGATAAACAAAGCGTTCTTGAAATATTTTATAAAAAACAGTTAATGGTAAAAAGCGCTTGAGACCAAAAGCATGAAATTAAAGTCAGGTCATCGAATATTAAAAACCAATTATTTTTATCAATTTTCTAGAAAAAAAATCACGAGCGGTAAAATACCGTTTATGACAAAAATTATGAAAATAATCCCCGGAACATCAAATACTGATAAACAATTTTTGGCAATATTTCAGAAAAAAAAACGTTTACAACAAAAAGTATGAAATTAAAGTCAAGTCATCGAATATTGAAAAGCAATTATTTTTAATAATTTCTTGAAAAAAATTGTGAGCGGTAATAAATCGCATAATGTCCAAAACCATAAAAATAATCTTAAATATGGAAAAAAAATTATGTAAAAAATTCATGAGCAGTAAAAAAACTGATTGTGACAAAAACCATGCAACTAAACCCCAAAACAACAAAATATTAATTAACAATTAATGTTTGGCAATGTTTCTGTAAAAACTGTGAGCGGTAAAAACTACTTATCACAAAACCCATGAAAATAAATCGCAGGATATTAAATATTGATTAAACCATGAAAATAAACCCCGAGACAAATTATTAATTTTTGGAAATATTTCAGAAAAAAAACCACTTACGCCAAAAAGTATGAAATTAAAGTCAAGCCATCGAATATTGAACAGCAATTATTTTTAATAATTTCTTGAAAAAAATTGTGAGCGGTAATAAATCGCAAATGTCCAAAACCATAAAAATAATTTTAAATATGGATAAACAATTTTTTTTATAAAAAATTCATGAGGGGTAAAAAAATTGCTTGTGACAAAATCCATGAAACTAAACCCCAAGACAACAAAATTTGAACTAACAATTATTTTTTGGCAATGTTTCAGTAAAATCCGTGAGCGGTAAAAACCGCTTATTAAAAAATCCATGAAAATAATATCAAATATTGATGACAAAGAAAACCGTGAGCGGTAGAAAATCGCCTATGGCAAACCCATGAAAATAAACCCCGAAACATCAAATAATTAATTTAATTTAATCGCGCGGTAAACAATTAATTCTTAGTACCATTTTTCATTAAAAATTCGCGAGTGGTAAAAAACCGCTTAGGGCAAAAAATATGAAATTAAAGCCAGGCCAACAAAAAAAGCATACATGACAAAAACTACAAAAAAATTAATTTAGTAATTTTTCAGTAATCTTTCAGTAATTTTTCAGTAATTTTTCAGTAATTTTTCAGTAATTTTTCAGTAATTTTTCAGTAATTTTTCAGTAATTTTTCAGTAATTTTTCAGTAATTTTTCAGTAATTTTTCAGTAATTTTTCAGTAATTTTTCAGTAATTTTTCAGTAATTTTTCAGTAATTTTTCAGTAATTTTTCAGTAATTTTTCAGTAATTTTTCAGTAATTTTTCAGTAATTTTTCAGTAATTTTTCAGTAATTTTTCAGTAATTTTTCAGTATTTTTTCAGTAATTTTTCAGTAATTTTTCAGTAATTTTCCAGTAATTTTTCAGTAATTTTTCAGTAATTTTTCAGTAATTTTTCAGTAATTTTTCAGTAATTTTTCAGTAATTTTTCAGTAATTTTTCAGTAATTTTTCAGTAATTTTTCAGAATTAAAACCTTTAAGACAAAAACCATGGAAATAATTTCCGAGACATTAAATATTGATACACAATAATTAATTTTTCTCAATGAATGAAAAAACCGCGAGCGGAAAAAACCGCTTACAACAAAAGGTATGAATTTAAAGTTAAAGTATGACGTTAAAATCTAATTATTGAAAAGCAACTAATTTTTAGCAATGTTCTAGAAAAAATCAAGAGCGGTAAAAAACCGCTTATTAATAGTATAATTAGAGAGTTATCGGCAATAAGAATTTTAACAAAGTAAAAATCTTAATTATAATTTCTAATTTTCTTTTCTGTTTTTTCAGTTGTCCGGAAAACTATAATGGAGAAAAGTGCGAATTGAAAAAACCCAGTAATACCAGTATGTATCCACAACCTGATCTATACACTTGTAAATTAGGCCTATCGACAAAATACAATTGTTAAACAAAATTTTTTTTGAAACCGAGTGGTGGACTTTTTTCGAAAAGACGAACGGGAAAAAATTGTAAATTGTTACCGATGTACATATACAAACAAAAAAAAATGAATAAAAGAACCGTGTATATTTGTAAACTATCCTAATGTATAAGACTGTTTAAAGTAATGATGGTTTAAAGCCAGTGCAGTCATTTATAAGAGTCAAAACTTTTTACCAAATTTTCGAACCGCCCCCGTACATCAAAGTTTTATTTTTCGTAATAAAAGAACCCTTCGATTATTCAACTATTTATATGTACCATGTACATAATTGTTTTTAAGAAGTAGTCGCGGATCATTAGGGATTTTAAAATTAATTTACGCTTAATTCGGTATACGGGGGGAGTCTAAGAATTGATGCAGTTGAAAAGATTGGTAAAAGGTGAGCATACCTATAAATATCAGGGACCGATATTTTACATAATTTTGTATAAAGTCTTGTAGATATATATTATTTATTTATTAATTACATCTTTTACTCACAACAAAGATATCTGAGAAAATCTTATAACAAAACCTAAGATAATTGTAAAATTAATAAACAATAAAAATTAAAAAAAAAAAAACAAACAGTAAAATATTTGTGTTATTTCGGAAAAACCTTTAAAATAAATTGGGATAGCTAGAGCGCCTTGGAATACTCGATGTATAGGTATGTAAAGAAGGTTTTTGCCTGATTTTTTTTTCTTAATTATTAACAATTTAGTTTTTCCAGTATCTAACTTACTAATTTTTCTACTAGTAAACCTACTTTTAGATTTGTTGTGAGTTTCAGATGTATTTTTTGCTTTAACACACTGTTTGCATGTTTTGTAGATTAACCCCATTTTGAAAACAATAATTTATTAGATCACAACCCGAATAAATAAAACAATACGAGGGTGAGACTGAAATATTCTGCAAAGTTTAAAATTAATTTTTACTTTTTATATAAAATCGGAAATTTTTGGAGCATGTTTATTTATTGATATGGAAACACCCAGAATTCTTAATTTACAAAAGCTTACTCTCAAAAGGGATGGTTCGGTTATCTAAAAATTTACAAAATAATAATAAATTTCCATTTAATACAGATAAAAAAAATCAATTTCTAAGGTTATTTGCTCTTCTTTTCCTCTTCTCGTCTCATGCTCGCCTCTATTCACTCTCTGGAATCTATCTGGTACTAGTATCTATCTTTTTGGTCTACCTGTTCTACCTGTTATATCTGCTTTCTGTAGTCTCCTGTCTTTACAATTTATAATACAATTTTATCCTTTTTAATTGCTTTTATTTATCGCTCCTACTCATCAACAACATTTAACTTAACTATTCCAACTTATCTTATCCTTTAAATAACTTACACAATACAAAATTCCTTGTGTCTGAACATTTCTCTCTGACAACTGACAATAGACATATCCCGTTATTTATGATCTCTTATTATTTCCTCTTAAAATCATCAAAATTTGTTGTTGTTATGTTTTCTACCCTGAGCTCTAATTACACATCCGGAAATATCATTTTGTTTTTGCTTTTGATAGTGAGTATTTGTATTAACTTTTTATGATTGGTAGGAGAGCCAGTCACACTTTTAAGAGTGTTATTTGCAAAAGTCAAAATTACAAATATTTTGTTCATTCTTACATTGTAGAACATAGAATTACTTTACTGCAGTCCCTGAAGCGATGGAACCCTCGACGACGACATTTTTAATAAGCCTTCCTAAAAAATGCTGTCATAAAAGCGCAAGCTTGAAACTTTCAGATATTATTTACATCAAAAAGTTAATAAATAGAAAAAGGTAGCTGACACATATTTTAAATTCGGCTCACAGTAACTTCTCACCAAAGGATTTTCATTAATAACATTTTTTTTTCTCCTGGGCTCGTCTGACAATGTCTCCGAATAACACTGAAGCCTATTGGCTTATTGTGTTTTACCCCATGTTAGTTCATAGCACCCACTCTGTCACCTTTGTACCTTGTACAAGTTTGTACAGATCCTTGCGTGAGTGGGTTCTATACGTTGTTGGATTAACCTGGGGTTGTCCAAAAAGTGCATGTCTTTTGCAATCTAGAGCTTCGCATTCACACAGTATGTGTTTGGCAGTTTCTGGTTTCTTGTGACGTCGGCACATGAGTTCCCCATTGTATATGCCAATTTTGTTTGTGTCCCTTGCCCAGTCATGAACCCTCTTATCACTTTCAACTGGTTCCTATTCATAAAAAGTAGTTCTCTAGTTCTTTTGGGGCATGGTCTGCCTATGAAGGCTTTTCCATGTGCCTGTTCTGGGATGCTTCCCCAATAGTTAATATGTTGTTCCCGAATCCAGTCGTTTATGAAACCCCGTACTGTACTTTTTGATACTCCAGGGTTTGTGTCTAGTTCCGGTGTTTCTTCTGACCCTCTTTTTGCAAGTTCGTCAGCTTTTTCGTTGCCTTCGATCCCTTGGTGATCTGAAATCCAAAGTAGTTTTACTCTATTTCGGTCTGCCAATGTTCTTAGTTCTTCGATGCATTCCCATACCAGCCTTGACGTAACTTTCTGACTCGATATGGCTTAAGTGCCGTTTGGCTGTCTGACATTATTTGAATATGCTGATTTTCGACAGCTCTTTCATTGTTCGTTTTTGTACATTGCAAAATTGCGTATACCTCGGCCTGAAATACAGAGGAATGTATTCCTATATCATAGCTATGGTTAGTATCAGGGTTTTTGGAGAATACTCCCGCCCCAATGCGCCGTCTGTATACTAGGTTTGTTCCTGTCATTGGGCATTGGGCTCCCTTGTGGTGATCTCAGCTCTTTTCTGTATTAAAACTTCAAATGGAGCATTAAAAGAGTACCTCTTGGTTATGTAGTCTGATCTCATGTCTAGCACGTCTCCTGTCACTAACATTGAGATACTCATGCGACCTGGCCTAATGTCAATATTTCCAATGTATTCCCTAATCTGTAAGCACCTAATCTTGCCTCCCCTTGCATTACATAGTGAAGAGGTGGGAGTCTTATTAGTGCTTCCATTGCAGCTGTGGGGGTTGTTTTCATTGCCCCCGTTATTCCGAGGCAGGCAAGTCTTTGCTGTGTCTTTGGCCACCACACCAAAGCATATACAGTATCGGCTATCGAACGTTTGCCAATACGGTTTGCACAAGAGCGTGTGAAAACTATAGTTAGTATTAGAGCGATCAGGAAACGAATACTATCAGCGATGCCAGTTTATACGGTCGAGCCAACGTTACAATACGGTCGGGCCGTATAAACTAATAACGCTGATATTATTCGTTTCCTGCCCACTCTAATGCTAACGCTTTATAGTGTTCATATGCACTTGTGCAAAACGTATTGGAAAACGTTCAGTGGTCGATACTGTATATTATTCTTTCAGAGAAAAAAATGAGCCTTATGTAAATACAATTTTATATAATACCAATTTTACTTTCCAAACTTGAAGGTTTTCCACCACTACCAAGATGGCAGCAAACTTTTTTCTAATAACTTTTGATATAAATATCTGAGTTTCAAGCTTGTGTTTTAATATTAGGATTTTCTACATCAGCTTTTTGAAAATGTCTTCATTGAGCGATCAATCACTAGCAGCAAAGTATTTCCATCTTCTACAGGATAAAAATTAACGATAAATTTATAATTTTGTCTTGTGCAAGGATAAGAGAAAGATAGAAAATATAAATGCAAAATTGTTGAATAACGGGAAAAGTGGATTTCAACCCAACATCAATCAAAATTAAATATCCGACATGCAGATTTTAAATTAAATTTAGATTTTAGGCAACTTCACAACCCCAAAATAGTTCAATTTTGACAAATCCCCAAATTCATTGCTGTCTTAGTATCTTCCTCAAATATTCTGGGAACAATGAATTTAATTTTTAAATTAATTTTTTTTTTAATATTATACCTCCCCCGACTATTCATATTTTACTCCTTTCAATTGTTGATCTTGTCCCTTTTGTTTTTATTCCACACCTAAACTATCAACTATTAACTATTCTTTCTTCTCATATTACTTCATATATAACTGCTGCTATATCGTTTATCTCACACGTTTCCCATTTACACTTGAACAAAATTTTAATTTTAAAAATCTTCTTATTGTCTCATCTTCTATATACTTCAATCTATTATTTTCCTTAACTCGTAACTTTCCTAACGCATTTATTTCGTGACTATCATTTTCCATTACTCTTCTTATGCATAAAATCTTTGCCTTTTCCATCATCAAACTATAAGTACTCTATTTTTTTGCTATCGTCTTAATTTTTTTTCTTACACTATGTCCACTTTCACACTTAATATTAACCTATCTATTTTTATTTCATTCATTTTAGTTATTCAATTTCCTTGTTCTCAGTTAGTTTTAATATTCCAAATTTACGTCCCCAATTTAAATTTTACTATTTTTCTTTCATTTTGTCCACACATTTTCTTTTTCTGTCAATCCCCGATTCATAATTAATTTCTCTATGTTTTGTTTTCTTTTGCCTTATATTTTGAATATTTTGTTTAATACTCTATTTTTACTTCTTATATTTCTTTCTCCAATCTTTATTTGATTTCCTGTTTTCCTCTTTCTTCTTTCTTTCATTTCCTGTTTTCCTCCTTCTTTCCATTTCATTTATCTTACTTATCTTGCCTTCTGTTTTCCCCTTTGATTTGTTTCCTAATTTTCTTTTTTTTTACTCGATCCAATATTCGATTAATTATTTAATTTTAATTTTACTTTTATTTTGTTTATTGATACTTATTTCTTTTTTGAATTTTTAATCACTCTTCATTAACTTCTTTATCTTCAATTTCTAGTTTTATGACTTCTATTTTTATCTTTATATATTTGTTCTTACTTTGTTTCTATTCTTTCTTTATACAACCATTTTCTTCATATTCTTCTAATTCATTTCTCTTTTTCTCTTTCCTGTTATTTATTTCTTCTTCATCTTGTTTTAACTCTTGACTTTTTTATTTCATTTCTTTATTTTTCACTGTGTTTACTGATTCCTTCTGTTTTCTGTTATATTGTCTATCTCCTTTTTCATATCCTGTTTAATGTCTTCCTTTTCTTGTTTTCTACCATTTTTTCCTCTTCTTCTTGTTTATCTTTCTTTATTTCTTTCTTCTCTTGTTGTCTATAATCTCCATTTTATTTTCGATTCTTCGCATGTGTAAAATATTATTTAGTCCTAATTTTGCTTTCTCTTTTCTTGATCATTATTTACTCTATGGAAAAATGACGTATACTATAAATAACTTATCTTAAATCCCTTTGCAGAATTTTTCGACAATATCCTTGTAAATCAATAAATATTCGAGAAATGATTTTTTAACTTTACTTAAAAGGATAATAATACAAAAATAAATTAAATAGAAATTTTACCCTTAAAAAAAATTAAAACAGTAGTATTTTTGCAGTTTTTTTTTTGTTCTAATAATTTTGCCTTTTGATATTCAGTATTTTTTTAATATTTGGATTTTTTCAGATACAGAATATACTACAGTGAGTTTTCATAGTTAGATTTTCGGTAAGAACCTT